ATTACTTCTTAGTATTCTATAGATCAAAGTCATATCACTTCTTGATCTGTAGTACGACAGAGTAAAGAGGTCTGGCTTTTCAAGCCGTTCTTTCTATAGTAAACTTCGGAGTTCTATTATTGCATGGATAGCTATCCTCATTACGTTTTTCCGGAATATTCAAGTCACCATTTAAACAGGATCTTGTAACCTGGATGCAGTTTACAAGCTTAGTTATCACGAAGGTTGTGTATACCGTAGTGAACATACCTATTTACAATTTTGTCCCCAAAGTAAATGTGGACTCACTTGCTCGCGTTGATAGACATCAGCCGTTTTAGACCAGCTAATCAGAATATCTAAGTCTGTCTGAATATATATGTATATATGGTTCTAGAAGAAGAAAGTGAACTCTTGTAATAAAACGTATAAGACAATGTTTAAACCGGAGATTTAAGGGAAACAAATAGTGAATACATTTATGTCATTGTAACAGACCAAGAACCATGTTACCCATTATTTCAATCATTGATTACGAAGATTGTATGAGATCAATACTGAGGACAAGATAAATATAAACGGCATAAATTTTTACGATTAGTATAGTGTAGTATCGAGAGAAATTTTGATAAAATCTGTTTCGTAATGAGATACTCTTAGATTTCTCGCTTCACACTATCTGATTATAGAATCTCTTAATAATCGCTAGCAGTAAGAATAAGAGTGGGCGTTTGATCCAATCCGAAACTTGTCGTTTAAATATCTCAAGATCCTAATGCTATCGATTCTATGGAGATTCAAAACATTTATGACAAAACTATGAAACTACAATAATCAAACTGTTTTGCAAATTCTTTTTTTCTCAAAGATTTTCTCAAAACTACGTTCGTTTACATCCAGTAAACCACAACCCTTTTAATATTGCCAAAATTATAAAGTTGATTGAATGGCATATATTTCCCGGTGATCTAGAGATAGTTTAGATCTCAATATAGTTCAGTAATAGTCATGTTATGCTACTCCAAGTTATGATTATTATGTGTGAGTATTTGACGACAAAAGGAAATCGAATGTCATTAATTTAGATTTTATAGGTATCAACACTCATCAACAGATGTTTTTCATTTGTGAATGATAACCAAAATGAAACCTATCTACAAAAACTTTCATAATTATAAAGTACAGTTTTTTTAATCGAATGTAATAAAACCACCATGTTGATCTACGACCCTATCTTAATACTCCATTCTTAAATCAAACACCATAGAAAGTTTCGTCAATTGGATGTCTCCAGTATTAACTGAAGTACAAATTTACTTATTAACTTTATTGATCAACAACGTGAAGTTACATACCAATGAATACATGTGTACTTTATTACATTTATTGTATACATGCATGTATGTGTTGGGGACGTTAGATCCCCCGAACTCACATGGAAAAGGACCTAATTTTGTAATTCTATTTAGAAAATTTGAAGTTCTTTGTTTTCGCGCATAAAGCGCTCTTTTCACCGTCATGTCGTATTTCCCACCCGGGAGAATCTTAGATGCTATTGGTCGGTTGTGTCTTTTAGTATGCTATTTTGTAACGCTTCTCAAGAACGGTTTTGTGCTGTATATGTACGTTTTGATTTGTATCCGTTGTTATCTCTCATTTCCTGGCTTTTTGTGGAATATACTTCCCTGTTCGAACTTCAACTTCTCTCTCTAGTTAGCGGGGCTTGGACGCAATAGAATAGCTAGTTTGTTGGTCTTTGGTCAAAAGTCTTTATTCCGTTCGCAGACTAAGTGAACTCGTAGCCGCTTCAAACCTAGCAGTACGTATTTATGTGCTTATCGAAGTGCTATCGATATGTGCTTATGTAAGAACATGTATTTATTTTGGATCTGGTGAGTTTTGTCTATCGAAGAAAACCAACAGGCGTAGATATTTAAGACAAGTAACCACTACTCACATTAAACCTTTATTATCTCAATAAATTAAGCCTTAGAAAAGTTGAACAAAAAAATGTCCAACATCAATCTATTCAAACCTGATATTACTTCTACCAAAAAATATGTACTACTTAAATGATAATCAATTGAATGGAAACCTTAAATCACTTTGATACACGAAATTATAACAGGTGCTTAGCAGGAAATGGCATGAAATTTCCCCTTACCCAAGAATCACAGAGAATAATATCAAAAAGACTATTTATAATTATCATTATAATTATTATCAATATATTCATCTGGAACCTCCATTATACATACATACTTGACAAAGATTGGGGCAAAAACACAGGAAGAGATAAACATCAAGAAGAAAAGTAAAAAAAAGTGTAATTCGAAGGAGAAAAAAAAACAGTAAGAATTATTGAAGTATATGCACTGTACGTAAAACATGTGACCCTGTTTTCCGGGGGTATATATATATATATATATATATATAATGATGAAAGTCGCTGTTGCTGCTTACTAGAAAAATTACTTACTACTATTGTCAGTAGTGAGAGTAGCATTAGTAGTATCAATCGTAGTTATTGTGTTAAAAAGATAAAAATAAGATCAACAATGAATAAAGCGAACATTGGTCCACCTTTTCTCAAGTTATTTCATTATAATCTCATGAAATATAACACACATCAAATGTTGTGAGTGTATGTATACAAATGAATGTTGTAATAAACAGATAATGTGTGTATGTGTATGTGAGTGAGTGTATACTCTGAATATGAATACCTCTCCAGACAATAGAGATGTAAAGAAAACCAAAGAAGTAGTTGTGAACTACATTTTTTTTCTTGGAAAAAAGGACAAATATAAATAAAAACAATAACGATAAGAAAACGACAAATGCATCATATAATTCATATATATGTATCTTTATCATCTGGTGTTTTTGTGTCATCAGGGTGAGTTTGATTATTTGTTATGAAGAAATGATAGAACAGTTGAAAAGATCATCACCATCATCATCAACATCATTATCGTGAACCATGAGAGAAATGAGAAAAAGAAAGAATCGAAAATAGAGTTAAATTAAGATGGTGATGATGATGGTGATGTGTGTGTGTGTGTGTGTGTGTAAGTTTGATGGATATGTAATGAAATCAACAATAATTATTCCAGTCATATTAATACTATTACTGGTACTCTTGATACCAGTACTATGCATGCGTTATGGTAGTTTAAATGGAATTCATAATAGTTATTGTTATTATTATACTCATAGAAAAACTCCTTTGTCACATTGTTCTTCTGTTTGAAATTTCTCTTTCTAAGTAAATAAATTAGAACATGATTGAACAAGTTGATCAGCTGATTAATTATGTAAACGTTATTAAAGGAAAGTTAACAATGACGATGATGATGATGGTGGTAGTGATCGTCGTCGTTGTCGTCGTCGTAAGAATTTCTAACTAACTAATTCATACATCCATATAACAAATAAACTAGAGCATTTTACAGATAAATACAGTAAATATGAAGAATTCAAGTGAAGAAATAAAAAGTTGTAACGATAGTGATCATGATAACGGTGGTGAGGAAAAGTCATGATGAACAATAGTACAACCCATATATACCTACATAAACAAACAAGTACACAGAGTAATAATAATAATAATAATAGTATGAAAACTTCAGTACAGAAAAAAAAGAAAAAATCAAGACGGGTAAAAAGAGAGAATTGTTTTTCTCTCTTTTTTGTTGTTGCTGTTGTTGTTGTAAACAAATGGCTACTACCAATTGTTACAAGTAAACAATATGCATAGGTATTAATAAATATTACTATTATGATACAATTTATACAATATTTGGTTTGTTCAAATAAAATACACCTACATACATATACACACATAAAGAGAGAGAGAGTGTGTGTGTGTGTGCTCACAAGGGAAAGGTGTACACGTTTAAGATAGTAATAAAAGAGAACGAACAATTACACAAACATTCATTTGTCTCAAATAGAAACTAGATCGTAACAAAGTGCTCATGTTCCTCATAAACGCACACACACACACGCACGCACACACACACAATAATCAGTTTAATAACATTTTTCAACTGTTCTTGTCTTTCTTTCTTCTTTTTTAAAAAAAAGTACAAGCAAAACAATAATAAGACAGAGCAAACAATGAAAATAACCATAAGAATATGAGAATAGAGCTGCCATAGATTGTAAAAAGTTCACTTAACGACTTACTAATCAGTTAGTTTATTATTTTATGTTTGGTGAATCTCCGATTGATTGATTGATTGATTGGTTGGTTGAACAACATATAATAATGTAAAATGATAAGTTGTTCAATATAAAGGAAGGGGAACAAACGCGAAGACGAAGAAGAAGAAGAAGAAGAAGAAGAAGAAGAAGAAGAAGAAAAGCTGAATATCAACAAGCGAATGAATGAATAGTTGCTTTTTAAAAACTCTATACTGAAAGAAAAGTGAACAAATATCATGGAATATCAAAAAGGAATTTATACATGAATCATGATAAAAATAATATAATAATAATTCATATTAAACTAATGGAATAAATTAGTACATTTCTGTAATCTATATATAATATAGTGTACGTCCTAGATCGTGATGACAGTGAAGATAAAGTATGACAACAACAACAACAGCAACAATAATGAGGATAACAATGATGATGGTGTTCAATGACAGGCATTGAAATACAAGAAAACAATTTATCTCGAAGAAATCATCATTAGTTAGTACATTAGAAACGTACACTCACATACACATACACATACACACGCATACATACATACATACATACATATAAATAAAAGAATAGGAAAACAGTGTATAATGAAAAGAAGTGATAAAATAAACAATGATGAAAAAAAAATACAACTTTAACCACAAAATCAATATGACCATAATGATCATAATCAATGTGGGATTTGTTTATTTGTGTGTGTGTGTGTGTGGTCGTTGATGGTGTTGATTGAACTGTTTGTTTGTTTGTTTTTTGTTTATAGCCTAAGCTTACTTATTAATACATAATTACAAAGTGAAGGATAACTAAAGGCAATCATGATCGATATTATCCACAACTGAAATAATATCAACATTATCATTATTATGATTATTATTATCATCATTTAGTCCCATGAAATCAGCTACACCGAATCGAACCGATTCTGTATATTTACAACTTGTTGTGGTGGTAGTTTTAACAGTAGTAACGGCAGTAGTAGTAGTAGTCGTATTAGTAGTAGTAGAATTGGATACAGCTAAATGATCTTGCAATACAGAACTGTCTAAATTATTTATATTAGTGAAATTGGTTACATCATTATTCATAGAAACAAGTGGACTTGACATACAACACACTACAGATTCAATATTAGATGATTTTAATAAAGACGCTGGTGAATTACAACAAATTCGTTTAGATGGCGGTGGGTCATTGGGATTTCTTTCTGAATATTCATCGGATATAGTTTTTATTGGTGACGATAATAATAATACTGTAGATGGTAATGTGTTGGACAATGACGACGACGAGGAAGAAGAAGAAGAAGAGGAAGAACATTCCAATGAATGAGTATCAATAAACGAATTCATATTAATTGGCTTTGTATTGGATATTTCTACATTTGAAGAGGTAAGAGAGGAGCAGAGGGCAAATGACACTACATTAGAATAAGGCATTGAACAATTTGAATCATTTTGTAAATTGGTCGGGTTTCTTTTTGAAGCAACTGAATTGTCTGTTAGTGATGACAATGATTGATTAACGAACCGATTAGCTTCATTGGATGATAATTTAGATTGGTTTGAATTAAAATGATTTCTATCACCTGTGATAGTAGTAGTAGTAGTAGTAGTAGTAGTAGTAGTAGTAGTAGTAGTAGTAGTAGTAGTAGTGGTAGTATTAGTAGTACTAGTATTGATATTACATTTGTCAGATTGATTTGATTCACGTAACCGATTATGACTATTTGATCGACTAGTGGAATCCATTAAATTGTGTGTATTCAACTGGGAACATACTGATGATGATATTGTCATACTGATTGTTGAAACATCAACACATGATGATGTTGTGGATAATTTAAAAGCTGATGAATCATGAGACCAATTAGGATAAAATGTATTCATACCATTATTATTAGTAGTAATATTATTATTCCACATGTCAACAGAATTCGGTTTATTAAAAGCAAATTCGGTATTGTTGTTAGCGGTAGTCGGTAGTCTAGAATCATTACAATTGGATAAACATTGACCAATGGTATGTGAATTTAATCGAGATGGTGAAAACAACACTGATGATGATGATGACGATGATAACGATGATGGTGTTCGTGATGATGATGATGATGATGATGTTAGCTTAAAATTTAACTCTTCACTTGTTGAATTATTCAAATGATGATATGAATTTTTCAATGGAAATGGTGATGTTGCTAGATCTAACATTGGATGATTTGAACGAGATGAAAGTGAAGGACTTATAAATGCTGAAGATTTACCGGTATAACAGCCTGGAATTGTATGATGTGGTTGGTTTAAGCGTAAACTGAAATCAGCTAATGATGATGATGTGAATGTATGTTCATTTGTTACATTATTATTAAAATTTATTGATGAACACAAGAAACTTGAAGGAAATGTGTGAAATTTCGATGATTGGCTAGAAATATTTGACTGAGATGAATGCGCAGGACGTATAAATGGATCTATAAAATTAGCTAATCTTTGCCTAGCAAGATGATGAGTTGATGAATGATGAGTTCCTGTTTGTGGTTGTTGTGATGTTGTTGTTCCATTAGAAAATTCTTCTGGTTCCGCTTCCGAAATAAAACGTATACACTTCTTTTTACGACTAAAAATAAATAAATAGTAAAATGCTTAATATAGTACAATCAATTTTGATCGAATGAATAAAATACAATTAGTGAATACAAATCGAATGGTTAAGCTGAAGTAACAAAAGCAAGATTCGAATCAATAACTCAAAGCTTGAAAGTTAAATATTACAATCATTTAGTACTAATCATTGGTGCATAGGGGGCCACACCTGGAGCCTTTGACCTAAAGGTCTGATCCACAAGGCAGTGGAGCAATGTAAGGAGACGCAGTTTCACAGAAGCCAGTGACCAACGATTGTTTCACAAGCCATTTGTTCCCTCAAGATTTTGGAGCTCATGTACACCATTAGTTTGGAATCAGGGTTTTCCAACTCCCCTATGTAGACTTTCCGTGTCCACCAATCCGGTTAAAGCACAGGACATTCAGTTTTGGTCTTCTCAATTTCGTGAGCAATACCCCTGGTGCGAGAAGGCAGTGAGTAGGACTTCCCATGCAGTGAATGTATGCACGTGGCCGCATGAGAGCATTTCAAGAGGGATAACTAACTCTCCCCACTCTCAGCCGTACCAGGGCATTTGGAGGCCATTATTCATTTAATATTTTTCATCAAACTATGATAAACATGTGAAGTTAATATGTCAAACCTATTCTACATACTTTTTGTATGAACTATTGTTAGCTATCACATGGTACATGTAATAGCTTTTATGATCAGTTTAATTTATTTAGAGCCTAATGCTCTATTACTTCAGACCTACATATAATCTTTCCCCACATTTTCTCTCTTCTTTTTTTCTAATTATTATTCTTCACTACTACTGATGTACTACTTATAAATAATACCATCCATATATAGTTAAGATTTATGTTAACTCGTTGCTTCATATTATGAATTAAATTACCTCATTCGTTCGTCTCGTAAGAAAATAAATGATTTGAGCTACACAATAAAATTTCTATTGGATTAGAAAGTCAGTAACAACGTAGAACTTCGTACGTACGTACGTACATCAGTTCGAGTTGCCATACCACGTTAGCACAGAGATGCAGTGATCGATTCAAATACCGTAGTGGTAGAGGTAATAAGAGTATAAGCAGTAATCGGAAACATTAGGGTTTGGAGATGTTATTTGAAGAGTATAATACAGTGAAATAAATTTGGGAAGAGAAAAAAAAGACAAGGAGGAAAAAGGAGATCAAAATTTGGGAGAACACAAAGAGTGTATGCACCTGCGCCATTGCAAACGATTTTGAGTCATGTCATTCAAGGTCTCTAACCATCGGTTGCTATCATCTCGCGGTCCCCAACCAGGTAGTCTACACCTACCAATATGACTCAGTCCACTTGTCAGTGAATTCATGTACTTGTGCCATGTTTTGGTCTAGCCGCCCCTAGGTTTCTTCCAACCTACTCCTATACCACTGAACATCGCACGTCGAGGCAGTCGGTCGTTGGGCATACGCAACACTTGTCCCAGCCATCTCAACTGATGAAGTTTCACTACTTCATCAATTGATTTGTCATCCTTACCTAGTATCCGTTTCCTAACAACTGCGTTACTTACTCGATGGTCCCACAATATACAAGCAATGTTTCGAAGACACCTATTATTATTATTATTATTATTAATGGCTTTATTCAATATTATATTTTGGTACACAATAGAATTCTCAGCACATGGTATTTAAACAAGTTACTTACGCAAAAAAAACAGTGACGAATACAAAAAAGGTATAAAAGAAAAAACCCGAAAAACTGTGCAACTTTTCAAATTAGAGACATGGTTAAGAATGCAGGTTATTGACTAGGTTAACTCTAACAACCTGTTCGTCACAGAGTATATTTGCTAGGTAAGGTATTATAGAACTTTTATACTTTTCCTTGCGTGCAAGGATTTTAATGTAATTACTTCTCGTTCTACCAGAAGATATACAAGGAGAAAGATAAGAGTGAAGGGGATGGCTAGTATCTGATAAAATAACACCTGCCAGGAGTTTGCATGATTTTAAATGTCTATTCACAACCATATTAATTATGACCTCGAAAGATTCACCACACACCTTGCTAACTGCCTTCAGCACTCTTCGCAATACAGAAAAGTCTTTTCTCAAAAGCCCGAGAAAGAATAATGGAGAACAGTAAAGAATAATAGGTAGTATGCAAGAATTGACAAATTGTAAGAGTAAATGACGAGTAATTCCAAGAGTATGCAATCTCTTTATGTAATAGGTCAGACGGAAAACCTTCTTCGATAACGATAAAACGTGAGAAGACCAAGACAGATCAGAGGAAAAGGTGACACCAAGATAATTGACCTTCGACACTGAGTTTATCAAAGAGTCTCCGATGGTACAAGCACTATGGGATCTCAAAATAGTGTTTATATTCCGTTTATGTCTCATGCTAAAGTTAACAGCTTGACATTTAGACGGATTAAGTATGAGACCATTACCAACAGACCAACAATCAATACGAGACAAAAACTCATTCATTTCTATGGGATGTAAAGAGGAAGATATAGGCATACATACAGTGAGGTCATCCGCATACTTCACAAAAGTGTTTTCTGTGGAAGATGGCAGGTCATGCAGAAAAAAAGAGAATAGAAGAGGTGAAAGAACAGCTCCTTGTGGTACACCTTCATGAAACAGTAGAGACTCTGAACACTTTCCTCCAAACACAGTGTATTGTTCCCTTCCAGAGAGGTAGGAACATAGCCAGTTGGTTATCCAGCTGTCAGTGTTGACGCTGATTAACTTGTTAAGTAAACGTTGTCTTGGTATAGAGTCAAAAGCTGAAGTATAGTCCAGAAAAGTACATCGAACATACTTCTTACCCTTTTCTAAGTTGAATACTATGTTGTGATGCAGAACTGCAACAGCATCTAAAGTGCTTCTTTTGCGCTTGTATGCAAACTGGTATGGGTCAGTATGCTCTTTTATCGCAGGCTGAAGTGGAAGAATTAATAATTTTTCCATGGTTTTGAGGAAGGGTGAAGTTATTGCAATAGGTCTAAATTTTACATTCTTATCACCAAATGCTTTCTTGGGTACAGGAATTATCTTCATCTTTCTCCACATTTTTGGTATGAGATTAGATGAGAAAGATCTGTTAAATATAGTTGTGAACGGATGACACAGAACGTCAGCACATTTTTTAAAAAGGATGTTTGGGATACCATCAGGACCCAAACATCGAGATGAATTAAGCGACTGGAGACATCCTCGTACATCAGTTTCAGTGAAAGTATGAACACAGCTATTTTTTAAACCCGTGGATAGAGGGAGCATCACATCAGATGACTGACGTACAAAAGACTTATTTAAGTCACAAACATTCAGCTGGTTATCGCTTCTAAACTTTCTGTCACCTGTAAGTTCTTTAAAGAATTTCCACATACTTGTAGAGTTTTTGCAAGATAAGAGTTTTTGAGTAAACATACAGTTGAGACGTCTAATCTCTAGCTTTATCAGACCATTTAGCTTACGAACTTCATTTGAGTTCTTCTCCTTGTACATTCTTTCTTTCAACCTCCGTAGTCGTTTTAGTTGTGAAGATGTAAGTCGATCAAAACTTACAAAAATGGTTTCAGTGGGACAACAAATATCAAAACAGAATTTAAGGTAACAAGTGATGACATCAGTAGTGTTTTCGAGTGAGTCATCTGTAAATAATTCCCAGTTAGTCGTATGAAACATGTTTTTTAGATTTCGGATATTTTCTTCTGAGTAATTCCTATATTTGACTTTCTTGGTTTGATGTAAGAGTGTACTCTTCCCATGCTTTCCATATACTTTAGGTAGAACACGAATTAAACAGTGATCTGAGCTAGACAATGGAGCACGTTTACGAGTCGCATATATACCCACATCACTAATGAAGACGAAGTCTAGATGAGCATCCAGACGGGTAGGAAAATCTACTACATTTTGGTGACCTAGTGACGTAAGGAAGCTACAGTCACATGAATTGAAATCACCACATACAACTGAAAGTGAATCACTGAAGGCAGTAACAGCGAACTCAGTGAATTCATCAGCAAAAACAGATAGTGCAGATGATGTGCAATCTGGAGTAACGTGGATATTGGTAACATAAACATATTTGTATTTATTCAGATGTTTTGGACGACATCTTAGAGTTAGACAGTCGATAAAGTCATTTGAAAACTTAAAACACACAAACGAAGATCGACACCAGTTTATGTTTACAAACGTAGCTACACCGCCACCACACCTCTTTTTATTGTTCGATCGATACTGACGATAAATTATGAAATCACGTAGTGATACTAGGCAGTCATCCTGTAAATCATTTAACCAAGATTCTTGAACTGTGATGACACCACAATTACGATACGTATTTTGACTAAGTAAGAATTGCAGATAGTCCACTTTGTTGATTAGTGATCGGCAGTTAGAATTTAGTAGCTCGGGAATTGACATATGATTAATGTTCATTCTCTTTAACACATATTGCCAACCACCACGATGCCTTTTATAGTACTTTTTCGTAATTTGTGCAGCGGAAGGTCGTAGGCTTTTCATAAAAGCGCCTGAATAGGTTATGCGATTAATGGACATAATTATAAATTAAAACAAATGAAAAACAGATAACTTGTTGAAATAATCAGATGGCAGGTAGCCCAGATATTCAAGCAGGCCGCTTTTATCAAATACTAGTAACCTACGAATATCTTCTACTCTTACCGGCCATGTTTCACTGCCATAAAGTAGGACGGAACGAACTGCTGCGCAGTAAACACGTCCTTTGTTTGATAGACGGATACCTCGCCTACGCCATAAATGACGCAAGTTGGCAAAAGCAAGGTAGTCGAGCCTTCTGTATCCGTGCTGAGATTTCGTCACACACCAGACCACAAGGGCTGATGAGACTTCCAAGATAAGTGAAGTGATCGACACGCTCAATTACTTTACTCCCTATCATTAGTTCGGGTGTCAATGCAACCCAATCCTGAAGCAACATTTTGCGTTTCGAGGGGGAGAATCGCATCCCGAACATGCTTGCATTGTTGCTTAGAGTGGTCAGAAGACTTTGTATTTTGCCAGCGTCTTCGGCGAATAAAACTATGTCATCAGCATACTCTAAGTCAACAAGTGAACCTCCCGGTAGAAGTTCAACCCCTGTAAATTTAGATGAAGAAAGTGTTATCTCTAAAAAAATTCAAACTGTTTTACTGTAGCATTTGTAGTATATCATTAGTAGTGTACTAAAGAGTAGATTATTCAATCAGAACTTATTAGGAATTGTAAATTGTGAAACTAAACAACTGTAAAGTATATAACGATGTGTTACTGGGTAAATTTTGAATAGCATACTGTTTTAAAGTAAATTTCTTGAAATTGCTAAGTGAATCATGGGTTCACACTCTGGAACACTACATTTGATATGGAAGGCTAAACATGAATCTATAGTTGATCAAGAAGTTATTTTAGGTTTTGTGAAAACTGTGTTAGGACCCAAGTTTTACCCAGTAGATTAATTATTGCTTGATATGATGGAAAGAAAAGACAATATTCGACTGAATTACTCATGATGAGTTTTATTCAACATTCAACATCCGTTTTGATTCAACGTGAGGATCATTCAGTGTAGTATTTGATTGTTTTCCCAGTATGATATTTTCTTCTGTATAATATACAATATTCTTGTATTCAGTTGACATGAACTATGCTCAGTAAGTGATTTGTTATAACTGAGTATGTGATCTAATCCTAATTATTAATCAAAAATGGGTGTACAATCAATATATAAACCAGTGTATTTTAGACGAGATTGATTCGTCGTCGTCATAGTGTTTTGGGATTGATAAATCTTCACTTATACCAGTCTTTGTGTTCTTACTTTCGCGTCACGGGAATTGCCGTGGTCGATCGTTCCGAGTATAAGTGATCAGCGTTTTTTTCCCGGCACAGCAATCAGCGACGACCGAGCATAACACATTTTTGAAAATAATTTAAAAAATCCATACTAAACCAAACAAATATTTCCGGTTTGTAATGGTTTGGATTATCCTGTTGTTGATGTATTTCGACTGAAATTTGATCAGTCTTAGTTGGCATATGTACATCCTGTGCGGAATGCCTCAATATAGCCTTTATGATGCACATTTATGTAAAAAAAAAGAAAAACGGCGGAACATAGCTAGCAATGGAATAGACAATGTGTGTCTTGATCAATTTTAGACTTGTAAACTGGATGTACCTAGATTCGTGTTGATGTTCACAGTGGGACTCGGATCTAGTACCGTTTGCTTCAGAGACTAGCGAATTATCCACTTAGCTACTGAGTACAGATAGTTTCTCATTGGTGCAACGAGTATAAGTTTTAATCTAATTTGTACTGGTTTGGATTATCCTGTTGTTGATATTTTGAGACTGAATTTCGATCTACCTTAATTGCAGGTACATCCAGCTGAGCAGTCCCACATAGGACGAAACGTGCGTCTTAAGTTCAACTGTTAGCCACATTTTATCCATTCTATATAAACATATGTGGTGTTGAAAATTATTTGATTAAACGAATGTATATGTTAAGCTTTACGAACAGAACAAAAACGAAACTGGATATAGAACAAAAAACCTACCGACACGGTTTACACCACATATTCTGATGTTCCAAACCAAATCTAGCACGACATTTTTTCAAATTCCCACCGGACAGTTCACTTGCAGTCATAGCTACCGCTGCTGCAGCAGCAGCTACCGCCGCCACAGTAGTTGACACGGCTGAATGAGATGAATGATTATTTTTTGTAATTGTTTTGACATGACTATCTGATGTCGATGATGATGGTAATAGATCAGTCATACATCTTGAAGAATTATGATGCTTATTACCACCACCAACACCACCACCACCGTTAAGACCGAAAGTAGACATCAAATGTGAAGGTAATGAACCAGGAAAAGTTGGAAAGTGATTAGAAGACATTGATGAATAGGATAAATGATCTAAATGAGAAGAATATCTATAACCGGACTGATAACCAATCGGTGTTATTGAATGTGATGGATGTCTATTTTCATTGTCTACTGATGATGACGATGATGATAAATTAATCATCCCGTTGAATCTAGGGGATAAAAATGAATGATCTTTAGAATGTATTGATTTGTTATCATTCAATGCGGATGACAGAGAAGAAGGATAGAATGCAGATGATGTGTCACGTTTAACATTTATATCAGAATGTAAAAATGGATAACCTGTGGAATGATGAAATAAATTTGATACATCATGATTATTATTATTGTTATTAGTATGATAAGCATATTCATTTGGGATTAAATTCATAGATTCATTGTATAATTTATTTAATTCACGATCTCGATTACAGAATGTAGTTGATGAAATAGAAGATGTAGTATTGATGTTAGGTGTAGCTACAATATTAGCAGTTAAAGCTGTATTCCTATTTGAATTTAAGTTAAGTTTAGATTTCCTATTGAAATCACGTATAGTTTGAAATTTATCTGATTCATTATTACCATTATTCATATTAACGGTAGGGACATGAGGAAATAAACAATAACCTAAATCAATATTGGAACGATATTGATGACCGATATTATTCATTGTTACCTTGGATTCATTGTAATCATTTTTTATAAAGTATTCAGCAACATATCGATCATTCTTAACAATATTATTATTATTATTTTCATCATCAACACTATTCATAAATGTTTTATAATCGATAGAATTTACATTCATTGATTTTACATGCTGTCTTACTTCACCTAAGAAATTACAACCATCTTCTTCCTTTATAGTTGTAATAGGATCTAGTTTACTGAGATTAGAAGTGATTTGTTTAGATAATGTTAATGATGATGACAAAGAAGATGATGATGAGGTGGTGGTGGTGGTGGACACCAACGATGATGATAATGATGACGGTGATGAGATGGATGGTGCTGTAAACGATTGATTTTGTTTTCTACACAATGGTGAATTTGATGTTAAAGGGCTTTGTTGACGATTAGATGAGAATTCTGAAATAGTAGTAACAGGATGTATAGATGAAGGAAGATGTGGAGAAGAGCATTTACTACCACTACTACTACTATGATGATGATGGCGTTGATGATGACGATTAACAATATCATCTGATAAATGATCAGTTTGTATTTTTGAACCATTTATTATCATTGAAGATAATGAATCATTTGAATGAGTTTTATTATTTACAGAATGATCAGGAATACATGAATTACGTTTTTGTTGATTATTACCAATATCTAATGGAAATGATTTATATCCATTCCATTTATCCAATGAAGTGTTTACTTTAGATTTATCCATCATAATAGTTGAATCATTCAATAATAATAATGATGATGATGATGATTTTTCATATGAACGTGTATTCATTATTGATTTATTCATATGACGTGTTCCACGAATATGTAAACCATGTTTATGAAATAATTGTCGTCGACGTTTACGACGTCTAGCATGATATGCATAATTATCACGTGCTGACCAATTTGGATATAATTGTTGATGTAATTCTTTTTCATGTCTAGCCATTTCATAATATTTTGTTTGTTCTTCTCTTGTTAATTCATGCCATTTTTTACCTAATACTTGATTAATTGCAGCAGATTCTTTTAAGGTACATTCTTCTTGTACACGTGAACGCATTTCTTTCATAAATAGCATAAATGCATTTAATGGTTTTTTAATATGTATACCTTTAGATAAACATGAAGATGTTGTTGTAGCTGCTGATGATGATGATATAAGATTGGTAGTCATTTTTCTCTTTAAAGTTTCTTTACAATGATCTAAAGATGATTCTTCATTGATTATTACATCACCATTACTATTATTACTATTATGAATGTTAGCAATTCCCGATTTTGTTAAGGCTTTTACAAAATCAAAACTTCGACGATCACGAGATCTAAATTAATGGTAAAACATTCGAGAGAGAGAAAAAAAGAAATACTATTATATTGACTACCTCTTAAAATGAACAGCCATGCTTGGTAAATTTAGTTTTAATCATTAAACTATTTATAAGTTATTAAAGTAGTAAATGCTTAAACAGTTAATTTTTAGATTTACAAAATTTGTGAATAGTTACAGTTGGTAGGCAAGAGCATCTCTCCACATGGCTCCTTAATATGATATTTAATGTATGATTTAAAATAAATAAAAGACCGTTATACTAAAACAGTTTATATCATGGACAAACTTTAGTTAGATAATCATGCAACAATATAATAGGACAACCGATGACCCCTTCCTCGAAGGTCGAACCCAGGATCACCAGGCTTCACAGAGAACATATTAGTTTGTGTTTATTAAACTGACAGAAAACAGTCTACATTTCGAATTTCAATGGAGTTGCAACCTTGCTGTAACTAAAATATATCAGGAGAATGAACTTTTCATTTCATTTCTTCAATACTAAGTGTAATATGATGTTGTAATAAATCAGGTTGATTTAGTGTTTCACACTAAAATTTCGACAAAATTGTCAACAATACCAGAGAGTTAAAATTGGCTAAAATTAAAGATATAATATTGTCGAGCACAAAAGTGACAATGTTTGAAAATATTTATTCTGATACAGAGAGCAGTTGTTTAACGGTGGTTATATGAAATACTCAGGCAAATTTTGTCCTATAGTGAATGTGATCTGTAGAGATTTCAATGAAAAATCAATATGTAAGTATCCAGTATAAGCATTTTAATGAAGAATGTTGATTGACCAAATGGTTGTCGACTATCGTTGAGCAATCGACTAATGAGATAACTCATACTGGTTCTTATCATATCCTACTGTCTAATGTTATCTCTTCGTATTTAAAGTATACAGCTTACATGAATTGTCTATACAAAAATTCCGAACAAAATAGGGTTTTCTGAACTAAATGTTACAATGAATTAGCGTTAGATAGTTGTTGATATAGGTTAGATCAAATACTTTGTAAAAAGACCAGGCAGCAATATTGTTATTATTGAGAAACTTTATGATATAACTAAAAGTCTTGGCATATTGTCTTAGGAAGGTATCTCGTTTAAAACGAAAAACATCACATTCTAACGATAACAGTATAACCTGAACATACACATTCATCTATGGGAATCCATTCACTTACATAAAGTAAACGGGTTACGGTTAAGAAACTACGGGTTCAAATCCAATCAATCTACTTTAGGTAACCAGGTATTATGTTAGCATTAGCCTCCTTCCAACACAACTGTGCGTACATAATTAGTGTGTTTCAGAGTGGATTACATAAACATGTCCTTAGCAGAGGATCAGTTTCCTTCTATATGATGATAGATATAATTTATAGACTGAAATGATAGTACTATTAAGATCACAAACCGATCTACGTTAGACAGATATTTAAAACTTAGAAGTAGTGGGAGACCGTTTCGTTCTAGTATTGTGGGAAGCCTCATCAGTGCACATGAACAACTACACGTCTGAAAATCGAACCCGAAACTTTAAATGTTGCTTGCAAACGACCGTTCAGTGCTTTCAGGTTTTCAATGGTTGCCTAACTTAGATCGCTTCGTGATCAACAATCTCCACAACTCTATACTGACAATTATAATAGTCATAGGATAACTAATACTATCTCTCAGTCTAAAGTGTACATCTCTGTCAATGACATTTATAGTTAGGAGATAAATAAAGTCAGAACTGTTTCATTGCCATTCCTATAGCTGTCAACCAAACAATAACAATTAACACGAGTCATTCTCTACAGAGATGGTATTCAATCAAAACGGATAAACACATACGCACAGAGATACAATAGACATAAATTATATTTATTATTTTAACGCTGATAAATCAAGTTTTAGAAAAACAAAGGGATTTTATTTATTGACAGGCTACCAACCAAGTTGCCTTCAAACTTTCTATAATCATTATTATTTTGAAAACAAAACAATTACAATTACAACAATAGATAACTGATCTTTCCCTTTTTCGCCAGTTTCTTCCCACACACGCACACTTCCCCACGCCATCTTTCTTTTTCCATCTCTCAATCGTTAAATTGAATGCTATCCATCAAATAATAAATTTGCCACCTGTCTCATCTCAATAATCTATTAAATCACTTTTTACCAGTGATCTATGGTAATATATCACTCATGCGCCCCCCACACACACACACACACGCATAAGTGAATGGATAAAACAAATAAATAAATTGTTAAAAATGAATAATAAATTGGTAGAAAACGACTACGGCGACGGTAGGAATAGAATAACTTTTGTAAGACGACTGTCTTTAATGTCAAACCTCATTAAATAGATTAGTCTATATGGTATATAGTTTATGTACATACATATACATATGGTAGGGAATAAACTATATGGCTCCCACCATGTACTCGTTATTTGTTTTGATACTCATGTGTGTATGCGTGTAACAAATAGAGAAGGGGGGAATAGTGAAAAGATTAAAAACAAAGGAAGTCTAAGGAAATATTTCAAAGAAAAAAAACAGAGGAAAGAAGGCATCGAAACAATACATTTAAAATCTATGCTTAATTGAATGAAAAAAGAGTCGACTACAACAAACACAAATACATGCGGATACATACGCACGCACGCACGCACGCACCTACGCACACACACAAGTATGTACATTGATATAAATAACGGAAACGAATATTTATGGTAAATAGGGGGAAAAAAATAAAGACATCTTGTCTAATTTATATTATTAATTCATCAATTTCATAGTCACCATTATTTATATCCTAATAATAAAATAATCTATTCGAAATTTGTCATAGAAACTTAAATCTATAAGCTAACCAATTCATCAGTAAACTACACACACACACACACATATACGCCAATATATATATATATATATACAAAGATTTTTCCCGACTCAAAAACAAAAACATTCACTCTTTTCCTCCATCTCTGTTGTACACACACGAATTCCAAACTGAACACAATTAAGAGTAAATGAAAAGGAGAATAATTGAAGAAAATGATAAAGAAAATTGAAATTAGAAATTGCAAAATTAGAATCATTTCTCAATGAGAGATAATATCATGATGTAGTCTTTTTAGATGAATTTGTTTTTTTGATCAAGTAAACATTTTTAACAATATTATATTACTGAATAAAAACAAAGTAGTATGATCTAAGAGTCATTTAAGAAGATATATGAATACATCGGAAGGGGTTTCTTGTGGATATTGTAGTAATTTCAATAGTTGAGACCATGAGTCACCATGGAAAACCTGAAGGCACTGGATGGCCGTTTCGTCTTATTGTGGGACTCTTCAGCAATGCGCATCCACGATCCCGCCTCAAGAGATTCGAACCCTTCTGATATCAAACAACATATACTCATTAGTGATTGGCTTCAAGAGGTACATCCTGCAATTCTAGTGAGAAGCAGTGACCAGTGGAAGTCAACCAGGTCTGTTGTGAGATAGTAACTCATTGAAGATAATGGTGGATGTGTCGCTCAATTTCGTGGATTAGTTGAAGTTAGACATTAACACTAATGGATGCCGGCCGGCTCAGTGGTCTAGAGGTTAAGCATTCGCGCGCAAGACTGATAGGTCATGCGTTCGAATCTCGTAAGGCACGATCGTGGATTCGCACTGCTGAGGAGTCCCACAATAGGACGAAACGGTCCTTCAGTGCTTTCAGGTTTTCCATGGTGGTCTGGCCTTAATTGACTCATGACCTTAGCTATTGATATATATATATATATATATATATATATATATATATATATAGTAATTGGCAGTGAAATGCAGGATGTGTGTTTCACCCTAGTTTAGAATTGTCAGTTGAATGTGCTTGTAATTAAATGTGTCCATGTTCACGTTAAGACTCAACATCAGTGAGAGTTGTTTCAAAATTCAACATGTTATCCAGAGTGATTGATCAAAATTCAGTTGTGAATATTATCTATAAGAAAATACAAATGTTTTCAAACAATTAAAAATAAACCCACTTTGTCCAAGTTTCCCACATCAAAACCATCTTATTAGATAAAAGCCTATTGTTCTTGATTTCTCTACTTTAATCAAAACTCCATGTTAAACTTCATCACTATGCACTTGACAGCTCCATTATATATGAGAAATGTAACTCTGTTTTAATTTAAACAAACATAATTATCATCAACGTGTAGAAGAATATAAACGCAACAATATAAGAATCTCTTACCTTGAACTAAACAGATGATTTCGACTAGACCATGGTCCAGGAGAATTAGTTCGATCTAATGTATTATGTATATTAGTGTTTCTTCTTCTTCTTCCTAATCCACTACGACCACTAAGACTATCATTATCACCTCTGGCAACAGCAGAAACAGATGATAATTCTGAAGATGTTGAATTACCAATCATAGCACTCGCAGCTACAGCGGCTACTACCGCTGCTGCAGTTTTCTGACGTCTCCAAAGACTGTTTGATGCTGAATTATTATTATTATCATTACTATTATTATTACTGTTATTATCTCTATTTTGAATTGATGATAACGAAGATGTCGACAAAGAACCGAATTGTACAGTTGGTGATAAATCCGATAAAGAAATAACTGACGATGATGAAGATGTTGATACTGATTTCATTTCTCTGATAGAATCTTCAAATGTGAATTCATTATTCAATGAAGTTGTTATACATGGAGTTGATGGAGCTGTATGTACTGAAGACGATGACGATGATGATGACAAATTTGAATTGAACGTAGCAGCGGCTGCTGCTGCGGATAATAACTGCATATGTGCAGCGGCTGCGGCAGCAGCAAACATACTAAGTTAATAAACGAATCAATGAATGAAGGAAAAATGGGTATAAATACTACAACCAATGACCTTTACATAATCTAATATAATAATAATACAATAATAGTGGAACTCAATTCCTTTATAACAGAATTATCAAAACAAGTGTATCACTTATATTTCGAGAAATAACAAATTATTCTTAATGGAATAGAAAGAGTAAATTATCAGCTAAATTGTATCCTAATACATGAGGTATTGATTGCACTAGAAAGATGAACTTATCACAAAAACGGAGTGTGTGAGACCTGTTTCAAATAGATTTTCCTTTAGATCTATAGTAGCAGTCCTAGGTTATCGAAATTACCAGTTTCCTTTCCAAGTTCCTCAAGAAGAATAGTTTTCTCTCACTTTGACGGTAACCGATAAGTGATAACCGCACTCATGCCTCTAACAGTATCCGACTGATTAAACCTCAACTATTAATTGCAAACAGAGTCAATATCAATAAATAATTTATAGCTTTTATTGTGTTTTGTTTTTGTATTACAGTCAAATATTCATTTCATACAACAAATACCAGTTATATTTAATGTTATTACTAGCAAAACATAACTAACAGTTAAGACAGCATAAACATTAAACATGAATAAAAAGCCTCATTTTAGCAAGAAAAGTAGACTAAGACTTCGTTTTGATTTGTTTGGCTTTTTCAAATTCATTATGAACACAACTTACCTAGGAGAATAAGGACTAGCAGCGGTAGAGTTAGTTGAAGTAGACGCTCGACTACTACTGTAGTTGTTATTATTATTCGTATTATTATTATTACTATTATTATTATTTTCACATCTATGATATAATCCAGCTGGAGATAACGATGAAGTAGTCAAATTGCTACTATTTGCTTTGGGTGATGGTGCCATACCGCCAATACTACTCGGTGATTTAACCGATTGTAAATGATTGAAAAGAGCTGATTTATTAATTGATCCAGATGGACTTAATGGAAATAATGTATTATTATTATTACTAATAGAAGGACATGGTGAACTTTGATGACTATTAGAGGATGTGAAATATTGTTGAGATTTATTGGATGTTTTTGGTGAACTTGTACCACTCCAAGATGCTACTGCTGCGGCTACAACTGCCGCTGCTGCTGCACAAGCTGCAACAGCATAGAAATTCGACGATGTTGAAGGAGATGAATCATGTTGAATAGATCCATTAGGTAGTGATAGTGATGTTGACGTTGATGATAGTGGTGGTGGTGATGATGATGATGATGATGAAGATATTTGCCCATATCCTTCTAATAAACGACTAGTGTGCAATGTATTAAAGAGTTTAGGTGAATTGATTGGATTGTCAAACGAATGATAACCTTTAATAACGTAAGCATAAAGTAAATAGATTGTAAGATTTGGAAATAAGAAAAATACTAAGAGATATAAGTGATAATTAGTTTACCTTAGTATACAATTGAAATTAGTGACATTAGTGTTTTAAAGTCAATAAACCAGAGAATTTCGATTGATAATTAACACACTATATAGCAACTAAATAAACTAATTTTCAATGACTGAATAACTAAAGTAAATCTTCTCTTATCTTCCATAAAGTTTAAACAATCAACTTACGTTCGTAGTTAATTAAATAAATTTGACTGATTCGTCAAAACTATTGTATATTAACTTCTAACTACGTAATGTAAATATATTTGGGGGGGGGAGATTCTTTTCTCTACTTTTCTTATGAAATATCTAAAGGTTCCTATGCTTTGATTTCCAATGGGATCGTAAGTGATCACTATTGGAAAGTTCCAAATATGGACGACAACAACAACAACAACAAAAATAAAGAAGCTGTTCAAATACTCCTTTTTTCTGATTGGCTCTCTATAGACTAATCATTATCAAGTAATGAGTACTACTGTTTAAACTGAATCCATAACACTATTTATGATTTTTTGTTGAAAATCTTAGTTACAAGTGAATTTAATTAAACCCTTACACGTAAAAAAAAACAACTAGAAAGAAAATACAATATTAATTCATTAGAAAAATTAATAAAGAAATTTGAACTAAGAAAACTTAATGACAAAACCGTCCAAAGTGATTTCGTATCATATCAGTTAATGTTGTCTCAAGTTGGACAACCAATTTAAGTGATTGTCAGTATGGAGTTGTGGAGATTGTTGAGTTTTTTTATTGAGATCATGAATCGAACGATGTTAAATCACCATCGGAAACCTAGAAGCACTGGACAGCCGTTTCATCTTAGTATGAGACTCCTCAAAAGTGACCAGTGGAGACAATCCGTATCAGGTAGAGACAGATATCTACCTCAGACAACGGAAGATGATTGAGTAATTTCGTGGTTTAGTTGAAGTTATATTATTAACACCGTTAGATGCCGACTCAACGGTCTAAACGTTAAGCGTTCGCGATCGATACCGAAGGTCTTGGGTTCAAATCACGTGTGCGGGATCGTGGATGAGTACCGCTGAGGATTCCCATACTCGGATGAAATGGCTGTCCAGTGCTTCCAAGTTTTCGATGGTACTCTAACATTGATCAATTCATTATCTCAACCAAATACTTCAAGTGAGACAACAGCTTTTATTATTACTATTATTATTATCATACGGTTTAAACTGTATACAGTGAAAATGTATACATGTAAACTTTTGTTGAATCATTATTTCTACTGGAAAGAGTATTACTTACTTACTTACTCCTGGAGTCCCTCCGGGGGCTACTGCCTGTCCCAAGTCCGGATAAAGTCAGTCAGTCAGTCAGCTACAACGTAGGACCAGGCACATATGTGCATCGGTCCAGGTTGCCATACCTCATTAGCACAACAAGATGAACACCGGATTCATAGGAGTGGTTAGGTCAAAGGTTGCAATAAGGATATAGTATAGGAAGGAAGAATTAGTTCGTATGAAGTGATTTTAATCTCTTAGTTTAAGGGAAGACAAAGAGTGTATACACCGGATAAAGGAAAAGGGTTGGACATGGGGTTAGCGACCCCATCCCTTAGAGAACTAACTCACTAGAAAAACTCTAACTAGAAAGAGTATAAACCCCACTAATGATAGTTGCTTTCGACTATCGTTTCATTTAATTCTCGTATAAATTAAAACATCTTTTGATAGACACAGATTTTGGACAACATAAGTCTAGGCGTCATTTTCAGTATAGGTAAGTGAATTGTTTAACAACAAAATATGTTTCTCATAGTTAATAATAGTTTCAAGTTCATTTACAAGATATACACATAGATAACAGAAATAAGCAACATGATATATGATGTATAACTTAATAAGGAGTACATCATGTTACTTTTTTTTAAAAAAGATACAAACAAAATTATAATCAGAGAGGGGTTTTATGGAGATTATAGTAATTTAATAATTGAATTCATCAGACCACCATGGAAAACCTGGAAACACTAGACGGCCGTTTCACCCTAATATGGGACTCCTCAGCAGTGTGCATCCACAATCCCTCCCCGCTTAACCTTTAGACCATTAAACCGGCATCCAAAAGTGTTAATGTCTAACTTCAACCAATCCACGAAATCGCGCCACCGTCTACAGGTTAAGCGTTCGCAAGCGAAACTGATAGGTCCTGGATTGAAATCTCGCAGAGCGGGATCGTGGATGCTCAGTGCTGAAAAGTCCCATACTAGAATGAAATGTCCATCCAGTGCTTTCAGGTTTTTTATGGTGGTCTAGCTTCAATTGACACATGAATTCAATTATTAAATTACAAACAAAATACTACAAGAACAAGGATGAAAGAAAAAAAAATTCACAATACTTATAAATAATTTTTGAGTGTTCAGTCAAATCAGATCCTAATTTATATACATCAATCAGTCAATCGTTTGTAGGAAATGGGATTTAATTGTGAATACTAAGATATGATAATAACGATGAGACTATAATTTATGGACAAATCAATCAGATATAAGATAAAAGGTCTTGGATTTTGGCGCGAAATTCACTCATCCATTTGGTTAACTAGAGTTCTGGCATCTTAGTTGATGTCAGCTAGTGGTAGAAACCCTAAGCATCAGCTGTATATTCAATGTGTAAATTATGACATTTAGTGTTAGTTAAACAAGTTGACCAGTATACTTGTGTTATAATTTCTTTTATTACGACCCAGCTACACTTATTGCTTAGTAATCTTGGACACTACTTCAGTCGATAAGTCACCAAATCAGAACACGGTTGTACAAGAATGTAATTATAATTCAAATAACAAAGGCGGACGGAAGTAGGAATCACAATAATTTTTACATAAGAAGATTCTATAATATTCTCTAAGTATCCACTAGCGCGGATTGGTTAAGAAATAGTTATTGAGCTTACCCTAACACAGTCCTGCACGGAACATGCTTTGATTCAATCTATATCCCGCTAACACTAGTACTCAGAGAATACTATTATAAAATTTCAGGTATGAATAGATAGTTTTGAAGCGTAGTTAAACTACTTAGTAAGAATGCATCCCTTTATACAATGGACTTTGAGCCATTTTGTGGTATTTAAACTATTCTTATACTATTTAGTTGTTCTAAATTAAGAAGTAAATGAAGTATTTCATGAATTTACTGACTGTTTGGCTGAACTACAAAAGAAGCTCGATACTACCTGAACGGGTTTTGTGTGATGACCACAATCAGTGGTTGGAGATGTTAACTGACATGGTTAAGAATTAGTTACAATAACTCAGATGTACTCACTTTTTATCTTCCTCTGGGTATTGAGTCCCAATATTTCTTCATACGTGCCGTATTACTTCGTCTTTTCGAACCATATTCTCAATGTCGTGTCCCTTTCGTTATCATTACAACTAAATTATTTCAGTCACATTCCCTATCTATCTCCTAACTTCCATCTCACCCTGCTAATGTAATATGGCGACTTGGGTCAATTCACATATGTGCCATGCTCTATGTTGATTATGATAGACTTATGAAGCGAACATTTGACAGCTTACGACTTAGTAGTTAAAAGTCAAGTAAATTAACCACTAAAGCCTCACTCGCCCACGTAACCCCATCATGTTACGAATATCAATACCGAGTTACTTGAAAATGGCCATAATGATAATAATAGTAATAAACACACTTACGAGATGTCGGCAATGGTGACTGACTATGCTCTCGTGCTGAAAGTCCAACTGTTGATTCCATGTCACGTGGATAATTTAACATATTCATATTATTAAAGGATAAATCTTTTGAGTGACGAATACATTGTTGATTATGTGATGATAAAGGATGTGTCTGATAAGCATTTGTGTATAAAGATGATGATAATGATAATTTATTGAATTTATTCTCATTTATACAAGTAACGGTATTAACAGAATTAGTAGAAACGCCAGAAATATTGGTAGTACAAGCATGATCATTCCTGGTATCAATTGAATTCCTATAGTCTTTACAATTTTCCAAACTTATATCAAAATTACCCATCATAGCATGATTTCGACTGTTTGTTGGATATTTTGAACCAAACTTTAAAATGTCACCATCATGTTGAACAGCTGTTTCATGTGGAGATTTTTGAGAAAAAGCTGCTGCTGCTGCTGCAGCCGCCGCCGCTGCCGCAGCAGCAGCAGCTGCACCACATCTGAATGAATCATAAAATGGTATAAATCCAAACGGATTAGGAACACATGATGGGAACTGAGTAGTCTGTAATCAATTAAAATAATAACAATAAATGATGAAATAAAGAAAAAGAAAAACAATGGGAGAAAATGAGGAATTGAAATTTCAAATAGCACGGCAGTTCTAAATTGTGTTACTTCTTGTTCGTTTGTTAGTATGAATTAGGCGACGGTTATATAACCTGGTTTCAAGTCACATTGTTTGCATTAAAGTGAGTATCGTCACCACTACTACTATTAATAGTAATAACAGTAATAATAATGTCGAACTGTCAAAACTGAACTAGGCAGGGTCCAGTTTGAATACGGAGTCTATTGGTTGAAAACCTAATACGTATCAGTTGTACTTCAGTTAAATAAGGTGAACACACACACACACATGATTAACTACCAAACTGATCTAATGGTTAGGCGCTAGTCGAGAAACTTGCATGCTCTGGAGTTAATACACTGTGAAATGATGGGAACACAGTGCTGAGAAATTTCATGCTGAGAGGATACAACTGTCCAGTGTTTCATGATTTTAAATGGTTAGTTAACCAAAATCAATGTCCATGATGTAAACTACCAAAGTCAGAAATTTCTACAAACCGTCTATACTAAAAATACATAATTATTCTATAAGTTGAATTTAAATATGAACTGCAAACGAAACAAATTTTCAAATCTGGTCGGTGAATGACACAAATATTGATGAAGTCAAGAACATTACTGAATAGATAGAGTTAGGTATAAAAAAGCCAAGCTCATGACAATAATATTGGTAACAGACATTTCATTTCATAAAATGTATTTACACAAACCATCCAGCTCAGAGAACAAAACTCCACCAAAATCATCCATCTGAGCTACAAATCTTCTCCACCATCACAAAACACAAAATTACAACATGTAGGAACCGAGAGTTGATTGAAATAGAGATTAAGAGAATATGAAATGCTTGAAAGGATGATTTGTTTAAAAAGAAGACTAGATTATTAAGGAATTACAGATAACAATTATTATGAAGATGAAACCAGATGTAGTATGATTAAAAATAAAAAAAATTACCAGATAGTTACTCTGCTAAGTTGAAACTTAAAATTATTTTAAGAAATTTGGAGGTATTGTTACATTCTAGGATTTACGGCATGAACTCATTTTATTGAGGCAATTACTGAAAACTAGGAAACACTTAACAGGTGTTTCGTCCCTGTTATATCCGAGCGAAGATTCAATCACGAGTAACTTATGAGACATATTAGTTGACTAATATTATCTATACATCCTTATGGCATAACTATTCAATAATTAGATTATGTATATTTATATTCCCCTTATTATAAGCTTCATTTTGACCTATAATTTATTATTATACGATTTACTGTCCCTAAATTATGCTCAGTTTATTAACTACTGCCTCTCACGTTCACAGGCACTTTTTGGCTTTATTGTGTACAAATGTTATTTCCTATTTTATGGTGCGTTGTGGTATGTTTAATTGGCATATAAACCCAGTATGTCTGAGATAAATGATTCGATTCGATTTGCATATTGGAAGCTGGCATTTGGTGTTCTGGACTCAAGTGGACGGGCTAGGCTGCAATAGGGTCAATAAGGACGCTAGACTGCTCATACCAGTCGAACGTCACTGGTTTGGCACAGTGCGAAGATTGTATAAGTCGTATTTTGACTGGTGGGTAAACCACGTGATAAAAAGCCGGAAACAGAGTCATAACAGTCCTAGTATGATATTCCTCAGAAATGTGTATAAACGACTCCAAGGTTATCGAACACAGGTCTCATAATGAATGAGTAACCGTTTGATCACTGGAGTTATAATCCTATGGTTTACATTTCTAAATTAGATCGATTAACGATATCTTTCAATCCTATTGATGGATAACTAACTTTCATACGCGATAAGATTGAAACCAAATGATCATAACTTTCCACTAGAACTCTGGGAATTGTTCAGTGGTTCAGTATTTCCTGATTTTCAATCACTGTTTAACAAGGATCAGTTCGTCGTATAAAGTTTACAGACATAATATGAACATAATACTATTAAGCCACCGAATTAAAATATAACGGTTCAAATTTTCCACTTCAATTACTTTGCGATACATAGAGATCTATATCCCAACGTATTATCAGTGAATAAATGACACAACCAACTTGGTCCATTTCACAGAGGAGAAGTCTTATTAGCTAAACAGCTTGACTGTATGCAAAGATTTTGCATAATTTGAACGATAATTTTCATTTTAAAAAATGACAAAATATTCTTTTAAAAAATCACTCATCTTAATCATGATGTACATTTTGGAGAAAAAAAGTCACAAAAAGGTTAATCAACATCTCTATTTATTATTTATTTAAACACAAACATAGATACAAGAAGGCACCAAATCAATAAGCGCCACACAAATTATTCGATTCATGTGGGGGTTGGGATACTGCCTGGGTGCTCAAACCGAAACAGATGGTTTGCTTAGGGGGCTACACCTAGAGCCTTCGACCTAAAAGTCTAATCTACGTGGCAGTGGAACAATGTAAGGAGATGTAGTCCTATGGTAGCCGATGAGCGACGATTGGTTCATACGCCATTTGTTCCCTGAGGATACTGGAGCCCATGTACACCAGTGGTTTGAAACCAGAGTTTTCCAACTCCTCTAAGTGGACTCCCCGTATCCACCGACCCGGTTAAAACACCAGATAATCGCTTTTCGTCTTCTCAATTTCGTAAACAACAACCTTGATACGGGAAGGCAGTGAGTAGGACGTCCTTGGCAGTGTTTGTAGGCACGTGGTCATGTGAGAACATTTGGAGAGAGAGAGTGAGTTGACTCTCCTCACTCTCGACCGTACCAGAATATCTCTATAGTTCACTTTCAATTCCTATTTTAATCGCACATTATTTTGTAGAGAAAAACAAGTCAACAAATGAATTCTATGTATATCATTTAACCTGTAGGTAATTAATTACGTTAACTTGATGTATGATACAAAAAAGAGACAAGAGAATTTAGTTATCCATAAATTATGCCTCTCAAATTCTGATGAATATATACACATAAATATATATATATATTCTTTCCAAAAAAGAAACAACCGAAAACAAGAAGCCAATATTATCTCTCTGTATGTTTGTATGTATGTGTGAGATTTATCATGTACAATTAACTGAAAATAACAATTACCATCATTCAGAAATAATTATCAGAAATGATCAATTACTAATAAGATAAATATGCATTATCTACCTATCCATCTATACTACTGATATTACTATTATGATTATTACTGGTGAACATCGACATCCATATCACCGTCAGAAGAGTTTCATAAAATTAAGAAGAAAAACAAAACTGGTTAAAAAAAGTATAATCAATCTGATTGTTAATTTTCTTTTTTGAGGGGGAGAGGGGAGAGGGGGTTAGAGGAGGGTATGTATAAAATTCATACCAACATAAAATAAGATAGAAACGACAAAATATCATAATGTAATTTAATTTTATTCTGAAATATATCCATCAGTGTATTCACTACATAATTGTATATATATTTTATAATATATGTACATACATGTATTAAATATGATTGTAAAATGTTCATTGAGCGTATACACATGTGTAATAATACCACCCGTGGTAATACATCATGACTAAGTATCATAACAACAATAATAGTACTTATACAGAATGACTATAATAAAAAGAGAATATAGGGAAATGATATTGTATCTGATAAAATTATCATTATGTACTTGATAATATAGACTGACTCATAACTGTTTATATTTTTATTTACTAAATTATTTGTTTGTTTGTTTTTTTCATGTTTATTTATTTGCTTTTTGTTCTGTCGCTCACTCTCTCGCTCGATCGCCCGCTCGGACGCTCATGAGCTTGCTCACTCACACTTATGCCCTCAATTGCTCACTTGTTTTTTTTGTTGCTTTCTTTCCTTCTTTTCTTCATAGGTTCACTAGTTCTATTTACCTGATTCCTATTATTGCCCATTTGTACATGTTGAATTCAATGTTGTTGTTGTTTTACTGAATAATAGTAATAATAATAATAATAATCTTGACGATGGTATAACAATAGCACAACCGTTAGGATAGAAATACTAATACAGGGAAAATAACCAAATATAGAACTGAAAGAAACATAGAGTAGTTTTCTCCCTTTCTAACATCAAAGTGACGAATAATAATAATAATAATAATAATAATAATAATAATAATAATAATAATAATAATAATAATAATAATAATTACCAAGTATAATATAACAACATAACATAGATATGAGAAAGATCAAGAGAGTAGAAGCAACAAGGATAGCTTGAAAAGGAATCAACAAAGGGAGTTAATTAATGTAATCAATTATTGTAGAATTAAAAATAAATAAATAAATAATCAACATTAACAACAACAACAACAACAACAAAGGAAAACAATATCAACTACCGAAATAAATGTGCTCATAAGTCAATGCAAACAATATATTAAATGATAGGTATTCATTAATTAAAAACAAACAAACGTGATAATTGTACTATACTACTATACACTATGTATATCATTAGTATTATTATAAACGATAATGACAATGACATACAGTGAGATGATATCTCTTCTACCTGTTTGCTTCGTTGATTTTTTGTCTGTTATTCCAGTAAATGATTCTCATTGGCATTAAAACATAAATTATCATATGTATATAATATCAATTAATAACCTTAGTTGTAGTACAGTTAATACTACTATTACTACTACTGATAATAATAATAATAATAATAATAATAATAATAATAATAATAAAAATAATATACATAGTACTCATTCATCACATTGACAATAGAACGCCTAATATATAGGAGAGAGAGAGAGAGAGAGAGGGAATATCAGATCAACAGTAATTATACTCTATGAGCTGTATTACAATTCAACTACACTATCAAAATAGATATTAAGCTATAATTTAAACAGGAGAAGAAAAAGACATTAGAAAAAACCCATCTATCTATTTATCTATC